AATAGCTCAGAAAGATCTCTCTTTTCTGTGCTCTAAAATCCCCAGATTTTCTCCTACAAAACCCTCAAATCGTATTGGTATTTATACCAAAACAGAAACCCAAACAGACTGCAAATAGGAACTCTAACTTTCCAAAAAAAAAACCCGTCATAAGTCGACTTAACAGTCTGCATAAGTCGACTTGGCAGAGCGAAAAACAACAACTGGAGAACAGATCGTAAGTCGACTTATCAGACCTGATAAGTCGACTTGGCAGAGCAAAAAACCAACAATCCAGAGCAGAACGTAAGTCGACTTAACAGTCTGTATAAGTCGACTTACCATAAGTCGACTTGTGCCTGTGCATGAGTCGACTTATGACACAGAATCTGCAAAAACCTGAATTTTCCAAATTTCTCCACACATATATGCACCGATATTAGCACTATCCTTGAAGGTCAAAGCATGGACAAAGCAATTGAATGCTTATCCACTGCATGTGATACACAAAATTGTAATATAGGAACAACAACGACGGATGGAGAAGAAGCCAAAGAGCAGATTTCTCCACCAGCCAATGAGAATGAAAGCTCTGACAGAATCATCGATTACAAACCCACGAGACTACTAGTTTGTGGGTTTTCTAAATTCGGTTAGTGACCAGTTAGGGGCCGCTAAATATATGGAAGTAGTAGTCATGTATGTTTCGAAGAGACCATTTAGCAGAACCGACCTCTTTTTGACATTCTGCTAAATAATTAACAAATCGGTCGGTTTTGCTAATTATTTAGGAAAAAAAGTCTATCTAAAAAAAACTCATTACTAAATTATTATACTACTACACCACCAACCTCCCGACCCGTGCCCTCCATTATAAAATGAGGTGGATTTGACGCGCACTTCACATTTTTCTGCAAATTGCAAGGAAAAGCTCTTTTATGCAAAATCATATTGGAAAAGAAGGTGAAACTTGCATGTATCTGGATATAATTTTATGAAATAGTGACGTCAGCGATCATTAATGTTTTGCACCGACTTGATATCTTGCTCATGTTGCTCTGATTTTAAATAATCAAGAGAAAAATAATCAAGAGAAAAAAGTAAAATTGGGAATTATTAAAGTTGATGTTTAAGGAACCAAAAAGTAAAATTGGGAACAATAGAGTCCAAATCTACCCTAAGCGTTTCACGTGCCAAATGCTTGCTTGCATACCCTGGAGGTATCTTCTTCCATGTGTAACATCATTGGCATTATGAATAATCTAATGCTAGTTTCTTAAATAAATACAAAATTAAATAAGGGAGTTTTGTTGATATCATAGACGACAATGCGCAAGCTTCCGAGAGCTAAAGTCTCTGGCAAGAGTCACATGCACAACTAACTATTATCTATGTACTTAGGGTCCGTTTGGTTGCTGAAGAGGGTTTGGGAAAGCTTGCCAAAACTGATAAAAATTGTCAGTTTTGACAGGTTTTTTTTCAAAAACGTTATTTTTGGAATGTTTTTACAAGAAAGCCTGTCAAAACTGACAGTTTTTGTTAATTTTGACAGGCTTTCTGCTCATTTTAACTCCTCTTTCCTCTTTTTAGCAACCAAACGGGCCCTTAAGCACACACAAAGAAGGAAAAAGAAAAAAGAACTGTTTATTGGTTTCTTCTAGATTTTATTTCACCTCGTTTAGCTTTTTTTTAAGCACCTTAAGCCTTTCATATTTTGAACCTAAAATTGCTATTAGATCTTCTTAATTTTAAAGTTTTTTAAATAAGTCCCTCCATTCTAAAAGTAAAAATAGTATCCCTATAATCTCTATTAATATCTTTGAAAACTATATAAAATGAATAAATAAAACACGGTGCCTTTCTGCATACCGTTGACTGGTCTATTGCTGATGTAAAACATATCTAGACTAATACAGTTCAAATCAATATACACGGATCATAATTTAATTAGGAGTTGAAATGTACGACAACAAATACACTAACCTCTTTTTACTCATTCAAAATCTCTTTAGTTTTATCTCTTTTGTCCAAATACGTTACACCCAAACCTTGTGAACAAAATTGTTAAAAAAAAATTAGCAACAAAATCAAATAGGAATA